ATTAGAAGCCCTTATCCTATTCTCCATAGGGTCCCTACTGTAGCTTTATATATACAGCATTAGGCTCTTGGAAGAAAAGAGACAATCCCATCAGCTCTATATTTCGTCCGCCTCTCTCTCTCTCTCTCTTTCCAAGGAGTTCTTCTATTTCTTGTGTTCCACTGATACAAGATCTAGAAAGTTGTTTGAGAATACAGTAGAAGATCTTAAGGTATATAGAGATTCCAATCATACATCCAAACCGGAGACCAAAACCAGCAAGTGACCATACCACGACGACCAGGACGACGAGACAAAGAGATCACCGTCGAGATCGCCGCCAACCGTCGCCGCACGCGTGATGAAGATCGTGTGTTTGGACTGCCGATAAGCCACAAACCAGTGCCTTGAATCGCCGATAGTTGCCTAGAGGTTCACAAACCGCACCCCTCTAAACGATATAATTGCTATAGAATTTTGGTGAAAAACTAGAGCAAAGAAGATGAACAAAAGTTCTTGAGTTCTTATTAATTCTTGGATGATTGAATGATGAAAATAACATGGGGAAGGGGCCTTTATATAGGCACCAACTAGATCTAAGTCTATTCTACCTAGGAAAATAATAAAGCAATAAAGTATTAAGTATCCTAACCAATCTAGATATTATAATGCAATAAGGAAACCAAATAGCTAGGGGATCTAATGCCTTGGCTTGCACTCCAAGTATTCTTGTCTTGCACTCCAAGTAGAAGACTTTCCAACCTCCTCCCTCTCTCTCTCACGCCACCTAGGTGTTCCCGCCGCCACACGCCTCCTTGCCTTAGTCCTCGAGGACTAAGGTTGCGTCTCCTACGCCCGCCTATCCACTTGCCTCGAGGAGTAAGGTCTCGTGCCTTATGTACACTATTCCTATTCCTTGAAGGATCAGACTTCGAGCCCATATCCACCTTGCCTATTCCTACTAAGAATATGCTCCCGGCTACGTTACCTAATCTTTCGAGGATTACTCCCGCCACCGATCCTTCACGCACACCACGATACTCAACTGCTTTTCCTAGTCCTGCGGGGTCTAGGATTCGCGCCATGCCTATTTCTATGAGGACTAGGCTTGCTGCCGTGGCCTTGCCTCGCCCTTTGGGTGCGCACGCGATCGCACTCTTCGCCCGCGTGACTATCCCGTGCGTGTCGCCCAGCTTGCCTAAGCCTACTAGGCCTAGGTCTTCGCCCATCTCGCACGCGTCGCCAACTGCGCACGCGGCTCTCCCATGCGCCGTCTCTCCTTCGCCTGTTCCTACATGGCATAGGCTTCGCGCGCTTGCGCACCACTTACTCCCCATCGTGCGCCCGCCCATCTGGTTACCCTGCTCTCGCGCGTCCTTGTCAACTGCACGGCTGCTGCCCACGCTTGATAACCTCGCGCTATTCCCGCGCCTGTCCACTGGACCACGCGTTCTCAGCGCCCTAGCGCTCTGTTCGCCTACTACGCGCCTACGTGCGCCCAGCGGCAGAGGAAAGCGAAGGAAGCGGAAAGCTTATGGATTGCCTCTCCTGCCTCGGGAGCATGCACAGGAATCCCGGACATTGAGGGGGATGTTCAGTCTGGCCAGAACAGGATTCTCACGTGTCCGCGTATCGTCCAACGCCCGATGCGCGCTCGTCCATTTGCTGCAATCCTTCGTGCGCATTAACCTCCCGACATCCTCCCCCTGCGCACCTTTTCGCCTAATCTCCAAGTGCCATGCGCGTCTACGCCAATGCGCGTATTCACGCCCTTGTCTAATGCGCCCTTTCTTGCGCTCAATAGTCGCCCTCTTACGGACCACCTTTTTGCGTGCCCTTGCATACCTCCATGTGCTCGATCCTTCTAGCCTTGATCTCTCGAGCCTCTTGCTCGACCTCCTATGCCATTGTGCACGTCGACACCCTCGTATATGGGCTCGTGCACGTCTCTTAGGCCATGCAAGCCTTGTTTTCGCCCTTTGCTTGGCCTTGCCCATTAGCCTCGGCCCTCGGCCTTTCTTATCATCGGGGGTCAATACCCACTTCTGTATCATTCCCGCCTCCTTTAAGAATGTCCTTGTCCTAAAGGACTTGTCTTCGACCATTAATTGGGGCGTCATTACCTCGTTTACATCATGCATCTCTTCACTGCAGTCTTTTTCGATCACGTCCGATATCTTCTTCTTGACTTCGACCAAAATTCCTTCCCCATCGACAAAGTGCTCGTCGGGGTATACATCGAAAATAGGCGTTCCTTCATTATCCATTGACTCATTCTCGTACTCGTCGACCTTTGGGTCCTCAAAATATTTTGAGAATTCGAACAGAAGGATAGGCTCCTTACACTGTGCATCGTCCCAGCCTTCTTTGTCGGACTTGCCTAGTACGTGGTCGGATGCTCTAACCAACTCGCGTATCTTGGACTGTTGCTGCTCGATCGTCCAAATCTTGGGCACCTTGCCTTCGACCTCAGTTTCCTTGATCGCAGCTTCCTCGACTACTTCGTCGTCCATGAGTTCATCCTCGGAGTACACGTCGAAGATAGGTGGGCCATCATATTCCGTCGAGACATGCTCGACCATGCTCACGTATGCGCCTACTTCCTCGACGGTAAAAATCTGACCGTCCCCATGCCAAACCCGCTCAATACTCTTGAGACCAAACTCCTTGGCTCTGCTATCTTTGCTCGCTTTTAACGTGACCCGGTGCTCTCCTGAGTCAAACTCCATTATTCCCATCTGGTAGTCGGTGGTCACCTTTCCTAAGCCTTCGAGCCATTGTACTCCTAACACAACGTCGGGTCCAACAAGCGCATAGAGATCGGCTTTGATGGTGACTCTTTCAAAATTGATCGGTATCGCACGGTAAGCCTCCGAGCACTTTAGCTGTTCTCCATTGGCTACTCGGACCTCAAATGGTTCGACCTTCATCGTTGGAAACTTCAACTTTCGAGATAGATCGGCGTTGATGAAGTTGTGCGATGATCCGTTGTCTACTAGCACGACTACACGACGGTCCTTGACCAACGCCGGTAGCCGCATCGTCGTCGGTCCTCTTGTACCCGCCATCGCATGCATCGAGATTTTGGCCTCCTCTTTGGGAACCCCAGCCTCGACTTCTTGCTCCCAATCCTTCTCAACCTCGGGCTCTTCCTCATTCGGGTCTATAACGTGGATGACAAAAGCCTGCTTGTATTGATGACCAGGCGTAAATCTTTCTTCGCATTTAAAACATAGCCCTTTCTCCCGTCGGCGTCTTATCTCCTCGAGCGTCAAGTGCTTGACTGGCGGTCGTGTGCTATTAGTCGGTCGAGAGTTGTCAGGTGGTCGACCGCTCGGAACCATATCGCTTGCATCCGGTTGTGCGCGTCGTGTCTTGGGGTAGCGTGCATCTGCCCGTCCCCTTCGAGTTGCCACAAGATGATCTTCTCGGCGTCGGGCCACTTCCATAGCCGCATGCATTGATTCTGGTCGCTCTAAGCGAACCTCCGCGGCTAGATCATACTTCAGGCCACCAATAAAGGTCCCAACCAACGCAGTCTCGGGCCAGCCTCGTACGCGACATGCCAATCGCTCGAACTCCTTAAGATAGTCGCGCAAGCTGCCGGTCTGTCATATGCGGGATAGCGCCTCGTGGTAATTGTGGTAGTCGGATGAGCCAAAGCGCGTGAGTAACTCGCGTTCGAAATCGTTCCATCGGATGACTCGCTGTCGGCTTCGGTATACGCTAGTAAGCCACTGCCACCACACGTTGGCTTCTCCATCTAAGTAATAGGCAGCGTATCTTACCCGATCACGTCCTTCGGTCTCGTTGAGATCAAAGTATTGAACGGCTCGGTTGAGCCAAGCCTCGGGATCGTTGCCGTTGAACGTGGACAGTGTGATCCTCGGCTTCTCGGGCTTCGAGCGGTCATGATAGTTAGACGCCTCGGACCGTCGGTCGAATTCCTCTTCCCGCTTGTACTCCTCGCGCCGTCGCTCGCGGTCCACGTCTCGCTCGCGCTCATCATGTCGCCGCTTTTCTTCGTGTCGCTCACGGTCGTGGCGTCGTTCGAGATCCCGATCCCCGTACCGCCGCGCTTGGTCATCATCATGCTCGCGTTCGCGGCGTCCCTCATGATCGGGCCGCTCGCGATTGGGCCGTCGGGGTGGTGATTGGAGCGCCACCATGTTGCGTGCCATCTCTCGAACCTTCGGTTCATGATCTCCATCAATTCACGAACGGACGCCTTTGTGGTATCGAGACCCTCGCCTAGTGTATTCATAGCCTCGCTCATACTTCGGACTTGAACATCGAGATTATCGATCTTGTCCTTCATCTCCTTGTTGGCCATGGCTTGCTTCTAGGACTCGTGTTGAAGATGATGATATAGATATTTTTTTTTTTATATAGGAGGGGGGGGGGACGAAAAATCGGAAAAGAAAAAGAAAGGGAAAGGGGTAGAAGAAAAACACACGATCAACACCTCTCAATGAAAGCACCAATGATGAAGATCGTGTGTTTCGACTGCCGATAAGCCACAAACCAGTGCCTTGAAACGCCGATAGTTGCCTAGAGGTTCACAAACCGCACCCCTCTAAACGATATAATTGCTATAGAATTTTGGTGAAAAACTAGAGCAAAGAAGATGAACAAAAGTTCTTGAGTTCTTATTAATTCTTGGATGATTGAATGATGAAAATAACATGGGGAAGGGGCCTTTATATAGGCACCAACTAGATCTAAGTCTATACTACCTAGGAAAATAATAAAGCAATAAAATATTAAGTATCCTAACCAATCTAGATATTATAATGCAATAAGGAAACCAAATAGCTAGGGGATCTAATGCCTTGGCTTGCACTCCAAGTATTCTTGTCTTGCACTCCAAGTAAGAAAACTTTCCAACCTCCTCCCTCTCTCTCTCACGCCACCTAGGTGTTCCCGCCGCCACACGCCTCCTTGCCTTAGTCCTCGAGGACTAAGGTCGCGTCTCCTACGCCCGCCTATCCACTTGCCTCGAGGAGTAAGGTCTCGTGCCTTATGTACGCTATTCCCATTCCTTGAAGGATCAGACTTCGAGCCCATATCCACCTTGCCTATTCCTACTAGGAATATGCTCCCGGCTACGTTACCTGATCTTTCGAGGATTACTCCCATCACCGATCCTTCACGCACACCACGATACTCAACTGCTTTTCCTAGTCCTGCGGGGTCTAGTATTAGCGCCATGCCTATTCCTATGAGGACTAGGCTTGCTGCCGTGGCCTTGCCTCGCCCTTTGGGTGCGCACGCGACCGCACTCTTCGCCCGCGTGACTATCCCGTGCATGTCGCCCAGCTTGCCTAAGCCTACTAGGCCTAGGTCTTCGCCCATCTCGCACGCGTCGCCAACTGCGCACGCGGCTCGCCCATGTGCCGTCTCTCCTTTGCCTGTTCCTACACGGCCTAGGCTTCGCGCGCTTGCGCACCACTCACTCCCCATCGTGCGCTCGCCCATCTAGTTACCCTGCTCTCGCGCGTCCTTGTCAACTGCACGGCTGCTGCCCACGCTTGATAACCTCGCGCTATTCCCGCGCCTGTCCACTGGACCACGCGTCCTCAGCGCCCTAGCGCTCTGTTCGCCTACTGCGCGCCTACGTGCGCCCAGCGCTGTCCGCTTATCGTCCAACGCCCGATGCGCGCTCGTCCATTTGCTGCAATCCTTCGTGCGCATTAACCTCCCGACATCCTCCCCCTGCGCACCTTTTCGCCTAATCTCCAAGCGCCATGCGCTTCTACGCCAATGCGCGTATTCACGCCCTTTTCTAATGCGCCCTTTCTTGCGCTCAATAGTCGCCCTCTTACGGACCACCTTTTTGCGTGCCCTTGCATACCTCCATGTGCTCGATCCTTCTAGCCTTGATCTCTCGAGCCTCTTGCTCGACCTCCTATGCCATTGTGCACGTCAACACCCTCGTATACGGGCTCGTGCACGTCTCTTAGGCCATGCAAGCTTTGTTTTCGTCCTTTGCTTGGCCTTGCCCATTAGCCTCGGCCCTCGGCCTTTCTTATCATCGGGGGTCAATACCCACTTCCGTATCAACGCGCCGCCACGCGCCGCCGCAAAGAAGCAGTCGCTGGAGTTTGTCGTCACGCGTGAGAGCGCGTGAGAAGGCCAATGTCCGATCGGTCAACGCCGTTGACTTCGTCGTGACGTCAGCTTTCTGGATTGGTCAAGTTTGTTCGATTTCGAGAAGATTTGATTTGCGGTCAACTGTTCGGGCCAGCCAGATCTACATAAATTTTAAGCAGTAAGTTTTCTTCATCAAACCTTTAGATCCGCTGCGCATAGGTTTATGTTGAATGTTTGTCCGTGATTTGTGCATATCGAGATCCTCATATGTCCCAACATCAATAACATAGGTGTCGGCCTTCATAACACGCCCACCAATATTGACTGGAAGACCAGGAATTATAGAAATGGAGATAATAATTTTTCCTGAGGCTAAGCTAACCTCGAGAGGATCACAATTGGTTACATTATCAATAGACATGGCCTCCAAACATCGAGATGAGATAAAGGAGTGGGTGGCCCCGGTATCACATAACGCAAAGATAGGCACATTGGATATGAAAATCATGCCAGACATGGTACCTGTGTTGTTGCACGCATCATCGTGAGCAATGGTATAGACACGAGCCTGACCCCCAGCCCTCTGCTGGTGTGGTGGGAGCTGCCTGTGTTGCTGCTGCTGCTGGTAAGGTGGAGGAGGAAGTTGCTGCTGCTGGTAAGGTGGAGGAGGAAGTTGCTGCTGCTGATGGGGCTGTTGGTAAGGCTGTTGTCTCGGGGTTTCGGGGCATTGGCTGAAGAAGTGACTGGGCTTCATGCAGTTGAAACAGACCCTCTCGGCGAAACGGCAATCCCCAGGATGATAACGATCGCACTTAGGGCACTTCAGATTCTGATCATGAGATGCGGGGAACTCGTCACGATGGTCATTCTCGCCACGCTTTTCAGTTATCCCGGCGAGAATCAAACTTTCTCTTGCCCGAACTAGAGCCGGGCACAATAGCTGTAACTAGCGCAACCATCTGAGCCTGCTGATAGGGTGGGATAGCCGCCTTCTAAGCATTCTGACATACTTCTAACTGAGTGGCTCGGTGAACCATCTCGGAATAAGACAGAACTCCGTGGCCGGTCAGGGTATAGCAAAGGTCGGGGCGAAGACCATCACGGAAACGAAAGGCCTTCTTCTGATCGGTATCTACAAGCATCGGGGAAAACGCGCACATACGGGTGAATTCGCGCTCGTAGACATCCACGGGACGGGGTCCCTGTTTAAGCTCCCAGAAGTCCTTCATCATCTGGGCACGGTAAGCCTCTGGGTAATATTTGTCCTTGACTATAGCAACCATCTGGTCCCAAGTCAAGGCATCCCTCTCAGCACGAGGACGAAGCCTCTAATAGTCGGCCCACCAAGTCCTAGCATCTCCGGTTATCATGAATGAAGCACAACGGATTTTCAACTCATCCGTGGTGAATAGCAGATCGAAGTACTCTCTAGCTGCTGATGCCATTCAGCCACAGCTTCGGGGCCCTCAACCCCGGTGAATGCCGGAGGATGCATGTTACGAAAATCGAGCACAGACTGGGTAATGGGATCTCTACCCGACGCGTGCTGCTGAGGATGAGGTGGAGGCGGGGGAGGTGGTTGCTGCTGATTGCTATTGCGGGTTTAGCGAGCCATTATTCTACATTGAAAAATGGTCGAGGATTTAGCACAATAATAAAGCAAATCTAGAGTTCAACACTAGAGTTCGCATTTTAAAAGGTGGATAAGCCCTAACCTCGATTTCATTTCAATAATCAATAATCAACAATATGCAATAATCTCATAGTCATTCAGGTACTCATACCTGAGCTGGCGCGGCACGACGAGAGTGAGTGGTCATAACTTAAGGTCAAATCACATAATCAATTAGTTCACATTAACTAGTCTACAGAAACGCAAACTGGCTTGGATACCATACTGTAACGCCCTACTTTTTATTTCCCTAAAATCAGAATAATTTTTTTAAATTTATTTCAAAAACAATATTTGAGGCGCTACTCATTTACAAACAATAATCAATACTAAACACATCCTCAATACTCAGCAATAATCAATACTCATAATCCATATTAATATCCCAATAATGCCAATCCAATAATAATCCTAGGGAAAATAATCCATATCAATCATTCAATAATCCAGTACTAGTGAAAAACAATAATCAATAATGCAATAATATTCAAATTCAGTTTTTAAGGTGAAAGCATTTAATCAAGTTTAACGACCACAACTCGCGTCCCTTCCACAGTGCCCGCTTAACTAACCTTCATCCATGAAGAGCAGGTGGGGATGAGCACAATAGGAAAATCGAGGTGCTCACCGCTATGCAATAATTAATATCAATAATCAATAACAATAAAAGTATGGTCGCAGCATGTATACGAATCAATAATTGTCCCATCTCCTATCAATAATCGATA